ATTGTATGAATAACCAACTAGTAATAAAATGTTTCACTTTGAAAAACTATGAGCACAACTAGGCAATGCCCAGTTTTCTGAATGTAGAATTTGAAAGCAATGTAAATCACTAATTATATCATCATAAAAGGAGATGGAGAAACCTAAATAGGATGGTAGGAAACAAGCAAGGTCACTTGTAAAAAAATTCAAAGAATAAAACTGCAAAGAATCTAAGTGTTTTCTAAAAAACATTGCATTGTAAATATGTTCTTGTTTAAAAAAAATCTCTACTATTTCCGGTAGTGGCAGTTCGAGGGGCCAAAGCAAGATGGAACAAAGTCAGAGTGGTGGTTATGGCCCTGGAGGTGGCGAGCAGGATGACAAGGACAAGAAAAAGAAGTACGAACCTCCTGTACAAACCAGAGTGGGGGAAAAAGAAGAAGAAAACAAAGGGACCAGATGCTGCCAGCAAGCTGCCACTGGTGACACCTCACACTCAGCGCTGCTTAAAATTACTGAAGTTAGAATTAGACTATCTTCTCATGGAAGAAGAATTCATTAGAAATCAGGAACAAATGAAGCCTTTAGAAGAAAAGCAAGAGGAGGAAAGATCAAAGGTGGATGATCTGAGGGGGACCCCAATGTCGGTAGGAACGTTGGAAGAGATCATTGATGACAATCATGCCATCATGTCCACATCTGTGGGCTCAGAACACTACGTCAGCATTCTTTCCTTTGTAGACCAGGACCTGCTGGAGCCAGGCTGCTCAGTCCTGCTCAACCACAAGGTACGTGCCGTCACAGGGGGTACTCATGGATGACACGGATCCCTTGGTCACGGTGATGAAAGTAGAAAAGGCTCCCCAGGAAACCTATGCTGATATTGGGGGCTTGGACAACCAAATCCAGGAAATTAAGTAATCTGTGGAGCTTCCTCTCACTCATCCTGAATATTATGAAGAGATGGGTATAAAGCCCCCAAAAGGGGTCATTCTCTATGGACCACCTGGCACAAGTAAAACCTTATTAGCCACAGCAGTAGCAAACCAAACCTCAGCCACTTTCCTAAGAGTGGTTGGCTCTGAACTTATTCAGAAGTACATAGGTGATGGGCCCAAACTCGTTCAGGAGTTATTTTGAGTTGCAGAAGAACATGCGCCATCCATCATGTTTATTGATGAAATTGATGCCATTGGAACAAAAAGATATGATTCAAATTCCGGTGGTGAAAGAGAAATCCAACAAACAAGGATGGAACTGTTGAACCAGCTGGATTGATTTGATTCAAGGGGTGACGTGAAAGTTATCATGGCCACAAACTGAATAGAAACTTTGGATCCAGCACTTATCAGACCAGTCCACATTGACAGGAAAATTGAGTTCCCCCTGCCTGATGAAAAGACTAAGAGGCACATCTTTCAGATCCACACAAGCAGGATGACGCTGGCCAATGATGTGACCCTACACGACTTGATAATGGCTAAAGATGACCTCCTGGGGACGACATCAAGGTGATCTGTACAGAAGCTGGTCTGATGGCCTTGAGAGAACGCAGAATGAAAGTAACAAATGAAGACTTCATAAAATCTAAAGAAAATGTTTTTTTTTTAATTTTTTTTTTTTAACATTTATTTATTTTTGAGACAGAGAGAGACAGAGCATGAACGGAGGAGGGGCAGAGAGAGAGGGAGACACAGAATCGGAAGCAGGCTCCAGGCTCTGAGCCATCAGCCCAGAACACGACGCAGGGCTCGAACTCATGGACCGCGAGATCGTGACCGGAGCTGAAGTCGGACGCTTAACCGACTGAGCCACCCAGGCGCCCCAAGAAAATGTTCTTTATAAAAAACAAGAAAGCACCCCTGAAGGCCTCGACTTGTAAGCGACCACATCTGCCTCCAAGGAAATAGTTGGGAGCGTCCCGAATCCTCAGAGGTATGAGGCTGGGAAGCCACCCAGAGAAACCCACGTTCCAGTTGATCTCTCTTAGCAAAACCTCCCGTGTCCTTTTTTGAGCATGCTGTGTAGGGTGCCCACCAGGCTGCCTTCATGTGTTGGCCACATGCAGTGCTCTCCCCCCAATAAAGTGAGCTCCTCCTCAGTTCAAAAAAAAAAAAAAAAACAAAAAATCTCTACTTTGTAAACCTTTTATTACATCAAGACAATATTTAAAAAGTAAAATAGCAGCATTTACTTGAATGTTTTTATTTTATTCAAATTTTTTTTCTGTCCAGCTCTCAGACAGAAGTTTAAAACATTAATACATGGTCAAATTTATATTAATATTTATATTAACAGATAAAAACTAAAATCTATACATTTACTGACAAATAAAGGAAGCATATGATGTACAGTAAGGTATCAATGAACTAGAGCCCAATTAGATCCTAAAATTATCAAAAGTGTTTAGGTTTTCCTCCTTCCCATTACCCACAAACACATACTTATACACACATACACAGAAACGGGAAAAAACAACCCAACTCAAGAAAATAAGATCTTACTACCAGAAGCAAGCTAAATCACAAACCAGTGTATATACTCTCCAGTCTCTCATACAACAATGTCCAATGAGAATATTCAGAGTTTCCAAGACACTGCAAGATCCCCAACAAAACCCTCAGTTGTGATTAAAACATTATACTTAGCAACAAGACAGTCACAATTACAACGATTTGCAAGGACCTCAATAAGGTCAAACTTCAATTAGCCAGAACACACAACAGCCAAAGTAAATTAAATTCCTCAATCTGTTCTTTGAGCATTCCAATCAAGAGTTCTTTCATGCTTTTAATGCCCTAATTTTTGGACAATGAAGGAGGAAAGCTACTGAACAGATGGGTTAGGAGTCTGTTTATTCAAATATACTCCAAAGGTAGATTTGCTTTTTAAAAAATCACATTCTATCAAATGGCAGGCTAAAAATAACTGGGATAATAGGAAAAATAGAGCTGGGTCAGACCCCTGAGAAACTATACAACTTTGTCAACCAGGGCACTGACAAAAACATTAACTGGTACCTGGGAAGGTAACTCAGACTGCCCAGGCAGGTAGTTTAATTTGGCTGGAAGCTGCCACAAGGATATAAAAACACATCAAAACAAGGCTGGAAGTATTCAACCAATAAAGATAAAAATGGAACTCTAAGCCAGCAGGGGTGCTATTCAGGGGGCCACCCATTAATAGGGAGCCGCACTAAACAGAAGTAGACATCTCTGTGAAGAAAACCCCAGGTACAAACACTCATATTTAATGTTCTCCAATTAGAGCTAAAAGTCTTCATACTGGCAGTACAGCAGCAAAGCTTAGGGCTATTTCCTTTCCCCTATAAACTGTAACAGCTCCTCCCCCACCCCATTACTCTGGTTCCCTTTGCCTAGGAAGAACATTCCACATGAAGCAATGTAATTTTGTGTTCAACTGACATAATTCTCCAATTTCCAACACGTTTCAGCAAATCTGCATAAATAAAAAGATTATTCTTTAAATAAGTATGCAAAAGGAAGGCTAGATATCCTTTTATGATCCATTTTCTTTTGACCATTTTTCTATTGGCACACTGGCCCTTTTCTTTTGGATTTACATAAGCCTTATAAATTATAAAAGTTAGCCATCTGCCAAATGTGTAACAAATGTTTTTTTTCCCAATTTATCATTTAATTTTATGCTGGGGTTCATGGGTTGGGGTGGGGAGGGGAGACTTTTAATGGTTTAAACTCTTATGTCAATGGATTCATTTTTTCTAGTTCTTGAGATTTAATGCCCTGCTTATAGACTACCCACTCCAGTGTTATAAATAAATTCAAGACTATTTTATTCAAGTACATTTATGTTTTGTATTTTTTACATTCAGATCTTTGATTTATTTCAATTTTTAGCATAACATTTGATGTAGATTTTCAGGTTGGTGGTTTTGTCCACAAATGTCTAATAATTTTTTTGTATTTCCACCTATTTTTTTTGCACCGAGTTGAACAGCAACTTTATATTATAAAACATCAAATATATTTACATTGGCCCTCTTTTCTGTTGCCTTGATCAGTGTGGCTGGAGGCTATGACAGGAGATGTTTAAAATGCAAAAACAGAGTAGAAATGCTAGAAACAATTAAAACAGTGTGGAGAGGTGTTGTTTAAATAATGCAGCTTCCTAATATTTTAATTTTAATACCTGATGGTACTCCTCCCCAACCCAATCATCTTTTTCAGAAATTTTACCAAGTACAAAAACAAAAAATTATAGTATCCATCCAAAAGGAAGAAAAGAACTCTTAAAGGAAGCTAGAAGGAAAATGGAGATATTTCTTTTGGAGTCAGGGGCCTACAGGACTACCTCTTTCTGATACTACTTTAGGTTGTTTTCCAATAAACAATTCATTATCAATAAAGAATAAATATTTAAAAGAGTGGCAGGGGCACCTGGGTGGCCAGTTGGATAAGTGTCCAACTCCTGACTTTGGCCTGATCTCACAGTTCGGGAGTTCGAGCCCCGCGTCAGGCTCTGTCCTGAGAGTGCAGATGGAGCCTGCTTGGGTTTCTGTCTCCTTCTCTCCCTCTCTGCCCCTCCGATCCTTGCTGTCTATCTCTCCCTCAAAATAAATAAAAATTTTTATTTTTTAAAAAGTAAAAAGGGTGGCCAAATAAGCTACAATATAAGACTGGTAATATTTTAATCCCAAGAAGCAACAGGTCTGAATGTTTAGATTTCAAAGTACAAAGACTAAGTAATTGTTTTGCTGTAAGTTTTTCTAGAAATTCCAGCTTCCTTAATTACATAATCTCTATGTTCTACAAAAGCTTATCTAGGGGGCTTAAAAATATCAATGTACTAATCAGTAATTAAGCTGTTTTCATTCCTATGAAAGTCTTACAAACATTTTTTTAATGTTTTTCTTTATTATAGTTTCACAAAACTATAACACATGAAATCAAAAGGCTAAGTTTAGGTAAAGAGATGTAAATAGCCCACCCTAAGTAGAGTACCTTACAATTTTTTCATAAATTCTTCCAAGTACTTACTTATTAAGCAATGTATGTTATGGGAGTAACGAGAATTGTCTGGGATGGTGAAGCTGCCATCACAGATAGCAACCTGACTCTCACCAAAAGGAAGAGTGAAGAAACAAAGTTTATACAGTAAACATCCCAGGGCCTGTAAAACAAACAAGTATGAATATTGTCAGATGAAGTAATCAATCACAAGACAAGAACACAGCCCCAAACCAAAAATGAAGTATGTTATTAAACAAAAGCCTAATGTTTCTAATACTGGATCAATCCTTTCACAAATTAAACCAATTAATGGTGTAATTAAACCAATTACTGTACTTAATTTTTTTTTAATATTTAACTGTATCATTTCCATATTTTTCTCTCACATCTGTGATTAGTTGGCTGGATTAATGTTATCATGGAACTCTAGATCATGAATGATATAACTAAAATTAGAAGCAGTAGGTTCCTCTTGGGAGAAAAATTATAGTTTTCTTTCACTAGGAAAAAAAATATATTTACCACATAACTAGCATATAAATAATGAAGTCAACACAAGGCTTCTTCTAACAACATTTTTTTAATTCAATATAAAACATGTTATAAAATCCTGGGATTCAAAGTATGAGTTAGCCAGCGCAGTTAATTTTATCAAACATCAATACACTTTTATTTGAGTATTCACTTAAACACGTGACATTATTTTATATCAAAAAATTAGTTCTCTACCTTTACATATAATCCTATAATTTTTATCCTAAATATACTAATCATATTTCTACTTTGCTAATCTATATTAAAAATCACAAAGGGCTCTGTCTGCTTCACTTGCATGGCTTCATAGACAGTGCAGCACCAATAAATCTACTTGCACCAATAAATCTGACAATGAAGACAAAACACCCTAAAACGCAAATTATATTCTAAAGAGTACCATAGGAAATTCCCAGCTAAGCTGCTAACAGCTCAAACCTGAGAAGCAGTAATAAAATGTGATTTTCAGCTCAAGAAATCACTATGCTCTTATAAGAAGTGTCACCTACAAGCCTTAAGAGTGTAAAAGTTATTTCTGGGGTGCCTGTGTGATTCAGTAGGTTAAATGTCTGACTCTTGATTTTGACTCAGGTCATGATCTCACAGTTTGTGAGTTCGAGCCCCACATCGGGTTGTGCACTGTTTGTGCACAGCCCGCTTAGGATTCTCTCTCCCTCTCTGCCTCTCCTCTCAGATATTCTCTCTCTCTCTCTCTCTCTCTCTCTCTCTCTCTCTCTCTCACTGTCTCTCTCTCTCTCTCAAAATAAACTTTAAAAAAAAGTGTAAATGCTATTTCTAATTCTAAACAGACTGTAATAAAATTATCCAATAGTCAGTATACAATTATATCAGCAATACTATTGGCCTTATATCACCTCTCTTTTGTTAGATTTTCTCCACACATCAACTTATTAGCACACTCAACTAACAAACACACTACTTTTATAACCATGAAGATCACAATATGCAGAAGAACCTTTGTAAGTCTGACAATATTTACAAAACATTATTTTCAACACAGTCTTCCAACAAAGTTTAAATGCTCTATAAATTTTAATTCTAGAAGAGTAATTCTAGTAAGTTCAAAAACATTACTGTGACTAATGAAACGGTAAAGATTCTGAATGGAAATAACCAGTTCAATGTCACTTAAAAATATTTATACTGCTTTTTTCTGTAAGGCAGATGTTTTCAGCATTTATATGTAGCAAACTGAGCTTAAGGCTTCCCTAACAGCACTTAAAAAATACTATTAATGGTGTAATATCTGCATTAAATTACACCTTTCTACTGCCCAGATGACAGTCTATGCACAAGAGATCTGCATTTTATCCAGTTTTATCTTTTCAATCAAACTTTTAATAATGTGTCTTCTGTTAGAGTAAATGTTGTGGGAATTTCCAGATAACTATGTTAGATAGCAATGCCAGTATCCTTAAAAAATATAAATCGAAAACATAAAAAACTCTGCTTCACACAGTGTGAACACAACAAGGTGTCCTAGTTTTTTCACATCAAAGGCATTTCTCTCTATCCATCTGATACAATGAGAATTGTTCAAGAAACGGGAGGGTAAAAATGACCTGATTTTGAAGGCTTCGAATACCATCATCTTCAATTTTCCTCATTAAAAGATAACATGAAGCATCTCTCACTGAATTTCCTAATGCTTATAAAATCAGCATCCCAGTTCTCAGGATAAAAATAACCTACAATGGAAACTTCCAAGCAAAAAAAAAAAAAAAAAAATTCGCCAAAATATAAAGTGCTAAGTGAATATTTTAACCTCAGTATGATAACTCCCTGAATCAGTACTTTGCTGAAATAGAAACACAATCTCTGACCAACATGAATTGAATAATTTTTCTAGTTATTCTTTCATTCACACCTAAAATGTTGCAAGATACTTCTGTTTCACCTGAGTGAATACAAGAAAAAAAATGGCATTATGAAAATTAAAATTCTACTTCTGTCAAGCATATAAACACAGATTCTATTTTCTGATTATTTGCTTCTTTTTTCATTTTCTTTGAGTAATCTATTTGTAACCCCATAGCTATACTTATAATTTAAGTTCTATAATTATCCATTATAGAAATATTACCCCATATCCTAATCTATAAATGGTATAAATTTTAAATTTATCACAATTTAGTATGCTGCCTGGCACACATATAAAGTCTAATGAAAAAATGAATTAAAAAAAGGATTCTCTCCTTTTTGTTAAGATATGGGGTAACAATCATGTACTTAGAGACTAATTATCTTTTCATTCAAGCCTTGATAATATCCAAACAGTAGTTAAGCTATGATGTCTGTTGTTTCCTCTGCTGTTGAAATACTCTTTTAGGTAACATGGATTTCAAAAGCAGTCACAAAATTAGATTAGGAAAAACTTCCACAATCACCTCTTCTAATACCTTCATTTTATAAATTAAAACCTGATTGGATGTGCTTTCTACATTATACTATAAACCATTTACTATAAGCCATTTAATGTTAATGCTGAGAAAAAGCAAACTGAATTTGAATTACAAGCTGGTAATCTATAAGCAGTATCAAATCAAACTTATCCATTGAGTCAACTATGTATATGGTTAAAAAGTACCACAAGATTTAAGAATCACTGGTTAAAAAAAAAAAAAAAAGGGTACATTATGACAGATGAAAAGATATCAAAGATACTCTTTTTTTTTTTATTACCTTGCTAGAATATTTAGTATCCCAACCCCTACAGGAGGAGGTCAAGAGAAGAGAACCAAGGAGATATTCATTTGGTTTCACACATTATGCTTGACTACTTTCTAAATTATTATGCTTTTAAAATAAACATGATTTTTTTTTTTGTAAAATCTAGAAGTATTTCCAATGGAATTTTTTTTCTACAACCTTAATACGGTCACTAGTGGTAGATATGGCTAATCCTTGTTGAATTTAAATGAATTCACATTTAAAATAGAGTTTCTTGCTAATTTATGAAACAAAGCCAAAATATATTCCCTTATGAAACAAGTTCTAAAAAAGTATATGCATTCTAACAAAAAGTTCAATTATATAAAATATGATCAATCTTAATAATGCAATCCAGATATACGGTTGACCCTTGAACAACACAGGGGTTAGAGGAGTCAATACCCATGCAGTTGAAAATCCATGTGTAACTTTTGATTCCCCTAAAACTACTGATAATCTACTGTGAAGCCTTATCAATAACATACATAGTCGATTAACACATATTTTAATATGTATTATATACTGTACTCTTACAATAATATGTAACTTTTTCTTAATTTTTTCAGTATTTCTAGGCTGCCTGGTTCACCTGCAAGTTTTTTCAGATCTGTTGCAAATCTCCAAAAGGTTTCCCAATATATTTATTTTTAAAAATCTGCATATTAGAGCACCTAAGTAAGCTTCTGACTCTTGATTTTGGCTCAGATCATGATCTCAGGGTTCACACTGACAGTGCACTGACAGTGAGGTACCCTGCTAAGTATTCAGTCTCTCACCCTCTCTCTCTGTCCCTCCCCTGCTCCCGCTCTCCCTCTCTCGCTCTCAAAATAAGTAAACTTAAAAAAAAAATCAAAATCTGCAAATTAAGTTCAAATCATGTTGTTCAAGGGCCAACTGAATATGCTAAGATCGATCTTCAATATGTAGAAATTAGTCAATGGCTTGATTTTAATTAGAAAAAAATTGACTCATGTTAGTTTCCATTAAAAAGATCTTAAAACTATTTCTAAGAATTACTTAAGATTTATGACCAGCTTTTCCATACTGCACTCAATCAAAATTACACTCAATCAAAACATGTTTACATTCATATGTAATATAAATTCTAAAAAATACTGTGGCAAAGAGTTACATTATATGGAAGTCCCTTATTTGCTTTTTTATACCTAAGCTTTCCATTTCAGGATTAAAAAAGATAAAATGTTCTATTTATTTTCTTCTTCTGTATAAGAATATACCACTTTCTTCTACTTATTATAAAATACCTTTGGGGTAACAGGGGGAAAATAACCAACTGAACTCAGATTTTTTTTTTTTAATTTGGTTAGAGAAAATGTTAGCCTTTCTTGGCCTTACCCAGATATCAGCCTTGGTGGTGATGGGTTTCCCTCCATAAAGGTTGATCATTTCAGGGGCTCTGTATGACAGAGTTGTATACCTGGCAGTAAATAAGTGAAATGGAGTGGAGATATAAAAAAAAAAAAAAAAAAAAAATATATATATATATATATATATAGATACTACATTGTTTCTACATAAAATGCTACAGAAAACTTTTAGATTCAATAACATTATATAGAAATAATACTATTTTTAAAAAGCTCATTAAAAGTCCATCAAGATTTAACAATACAAAGCATCTATACATGTTTTATTCAACAAATGCGACAGCATCTCTAATGATATAAAAACTTAATTTTAATTAAAAATCTGAAATAAAGACAATGGATTGAAAATATAGTTTTCCTTGAATTTGTTTTAAATAATATAATTAGACTCTAAAACTACCCTAATCAAAATACTTTAGTCCATTAATTTAAAAACAAAATGTCAACCCACTCAAAAAATTATGTTTATTAAGGAGTTTGTTTTTATGGACTCTAACATAATTCCCGGCACACAGTAGTAAATCTCCTCTAGGTCTGTTTTTATCACTGTTGTTTTAAAAGTAATCTAGTTGCCATCATTCTAACTACATTAATTAAGAACACTTCTAGAACTGACTGCCATCATAAGCTATTTGGAATTAAAAGACACTGAATAAATCTTTACCAACATAAAAACTCTAAATCCATTATGAACAGAATATTTTAATAAAGTAGTACTCAATCTCATAGCAGAAATTATTGCACTTTGGAAGGACTACCTATATCATGGCATAATTTAATTTTGAGTGGTGATATGTTTCATTTTGTATGAAACATCTTAAGGCTCAACATCCTATCATCTTACTTTTTCGAAATTACTGACTGGTGAGAAATTCTGAATGACAACACTATGAGGAGCAACCTGCAAAACCAAAATACAAACTGCACGAGGACAGAACTTCTGTTCACTGCTATACTGCAGCACCAACAATGGTGTCCACTGCATGGTAGGCCCTGAATAAACACCTGTTAACTAAATAAATGGTTAGACCATTACCTCCTCAACTGAGCCACAAAGCACAAGAATTCCTCATGAGCCTGCACTCATCACTACTACAAAATTCTACTGAACCTTAAGATCTCAGCAGTAAGAATGAAAATTCTTCAGCAGTAAGAATGAAAAGAATGAAATGAAAATTTCAGCAAGTCAGAGATCCTAAAGCAGTTATAAATAACAACCAAATAATTTTTAAATTATATATATACATACATACATATATACATACACATATATGTGTGTATATATGTATATATACATACATACATATATACACACACACACACATACATATGTATACAAACATATATCCCCAAAAAGCCAATTCAGTGATTTGTTCTTGTGTTCTTCAGGACATTTATATGTTTACTAAGGAGTTAATTTTTATGGAATCTAACATAATCACCATAGGCTATATTTCCTGAGTAGAAATACATGGTCTAGAAACCCACTGTGTTATACAAATGGGCCAGGGAAAGATCAACTCTCCTTGATTTCTTTCAAAATGCATACTGCAGTTCAAATGATAGCTGTTAGTCTTAAACAAATGAGAAACTGTGAAGAAGAAAGGAGACCAAGAAAAAACAACTACTCAGAAATTCCTATTCTGACAGACCTTTGTGCATTCTGTATCATTTTATTAAGGTAATATAAGATTTACCTAAGATTTATAAACAGTTCTATTTTCTAAATGAGAAAACAGAAAAGGGAAAGGTCTTTATAGATACTCTAGCAACCACAGAAAGTATAAAACTAAGAAAAATAGAGGATATATGACATATTTCTACCAGAGAGCTTTCCAATACACTATTACAAAGTAACACGTTTTCCAGAGTTTTCATTGCATTAACAAGTCAATCTTCTTCATCTTAAACATAAAGTAAAAGCTTACTTTTCAAATAATTTATTATCTTCCTAATAAGAACAAGTCCTCAGTATCAGTAAAAACACAATGTTTAACTAAACTCAATAATCACTTAAAACTCCCTTTAATAATTCCACAAATTACTCAAACTTAATAAATTTCTTGATAAATACATTTACAATGTACATGAAAAACTTGTACCTATGATAAAATATATTTACTACTGAGCTACAGCAGACATAAATTAACCAATGTCTATGGCACAGAAATATTTCAAAGAAATCTATAAATGAAATACCTAAAATCTGTATTAGCAAATCTGGTCCACAGACTTAAGTTACCTAAAATTCCCATGAGACAAAGCACAATAAAGATAGAAACTTACTTTTTAATTTCTTCTTCTACTAGATTAACTCCATCTTTTTGAGGATTAAGAAACTTATTCGTGGCACTGCCAAAGTCACAAAGTACATAGTTTCCACTATCATTCAACAAAATATTTTCTACCTTCAGAAAAAATAAATAATTAGTAGTATTTTCAAAGTGAAAATTATACTTTCATAACCATGTTTTTACAAAATAAACACAAGGTTTGTGCCATATATACAGAGAGAAAGACATAAGATAAATCGTGAGAAAGGCCAAATCAATCAGACCAAAAATACACCTGACAATGTCTACTGTTTCTCCTACTGAGAACAGAGAAGTGCTCCTCCCATCCCAGGATGATTTTTGCAGGGGTCTATAAGCCCTAAATCCTTTTAAACCTCTTCTATGAAAAAGAAGAACTAGTAGCAGTTGAAGTCTAGACTGTACCTCCATTTTTCATTCTGACACTTCAGCTTATCTATAGACAAGTAACAAAAACCATTAAACTTCTACCTCTGGTTGACTCCCAATTCCATTTTTATCTAAAATGCTGCACTAACAAAACACAGTTTTGACTTTATGTGTTAACTTGGAGATCAGAGTTGTAGCAACCTGAATACATGACATGCACAGGAGAGTGTGGGCTCACATCCCAACTCTGCAATTTGCTACCATATGTCCCCTTAGACAATATGCTGAACTACTCTTGTGCTTTGATTTCCTTATCTACAAAATGGGGACGCTGACAGTATCTGTTACATGGAATTGTTGTAAAAATCGTATGAGTTAAAACACGTAAAGAGTTAGAAGAGTGGCTGAAATAAAGTAAGCACTCAATAAATGATACTATTATTATTACATTTTCCCCCATAACATTTTCTACCTTTATAATGCAGTCTTAGATGAGCTATTCAATTGCTCTCCACTCTACCAAAATACTCACATTACAGTTTGTTTTTCTTCTATATTTCATATTTAGTCAACTTTTTAAAAGATTTATACACAACAAAGATTTGTACATCTACTTAAAACAAACATAGGTTTGCATAAATTTACACAAGTAAAACGAACTAAGCATATGAAACAGGGCCTATATAAAAGTATGCAGTTCAAAGTCTTTTCTGGCTTTAAATCAAGAAGACTCAACTGGAAACATCAACTTAATATGAAAAAGGTTTACAAGCCAAAAAAGCATAAAAAGACATACCAAAGTATTAGGGAAAATGTAAAAGCTGCATATTCAGAAGAACTGAAATGAACTACAATCATTATCCAAATTAAAGGACAGATGTCTTCAGTTGTACATTTCAATCTTTGCCTAATTTGTAACCTGTTACACCGTAGGTTGCCCTAGATGACACTTTCATGGTTAACAATCTATATTCTACGTGACATCTTCTATTTTCTTGTATCCTAGGGGGATTTTATTATCACCTTTCATAAATTTCGTATAATCAGTCAGAATTGGGATTCATCCAATCACTAAATATTACTGAGACCTTGGCTATGTGCCAAGGTCTAAATACTAAATACTTGGATAGGAGAACCTAGCTGGCTCAGTCAGTTAAGCGTCTGACTTCGGCTCAGATCATGATCTCACAGTTTGTGAGTTCAAGTCCCGTGTAGGGCACTGGGCTGACAGCTCAGAGCCTGGAGCCTGCTTCGGAGTCTGTATCTCCTTCAATCTCTCTGCCCCTCCCCTGCTCATGCTCTGTCTCTCTGTCTGTCTCTCTCTCTCTCTCCTTCAAAACTAAATAAGCATTAAAAAAAAAAAAATCCCTGCCCACATGGAGCTTACATGCTAGTGGAAGAGAACAGAAAGTAAACAATCGGCACAATACTATAAGGTGCAAGACTGAACAAATGGAGAAAGTTAATCTGAGTAGACTTGAAGCAATGTGAAAAATTAGCCATGAGATATTTGGGTATAGCGCATTTCTGGAAGAGAAGTTTTTGTAATCTTAGGGCTTGTGGGCATCTAAGAGGAAACCTATGATTTTTAAATGGTATGTGTAATGATACCTTGAGCACTATGACACTGGGAATATTCAAATCCTTTTGGGGGACCTTTTCCAATGTAACAAGTGGGTGCCATATACAAGAGATCAGACTCCACAAAAAGGTAAGATAAAATGACCTTAAAGAAAACCACCTAAATATAGTAAATGATAGAAAACGATGGTAAATGGTAAATAACTGAGTACAGCGACCCATTCATGCTTGCCTCCAAAATCTCTGCAAAATACCCTGACACCTAATATGGGTTATAGGAAATAGGAGGAGAGCAGAACTGGACAGAATCATGTGGAGGGACATTCAACCTGCATCAATGACGTTCACATTTTTGCTCACATGAAACCTTTTTAAGAAGCCTACTATGTACAACAGACGCAGAGGGAGGGCCATAAAAATCTACTTCTACAGCCATACTAGAAACCCTCAGGGTCATGGAAAACACAATTTCTAGTCTATAGTCTTTACACGGCCTCAGGAAATGAACCTGGGACAGAGAGATCCTTTCAGTGCTGGTAATAAAAACTGGTATAGGGGCACCTGGGTGGCGCAGTCGGTTGAGCGTCCGACTTCAGCCAGGTCACGATCTCGCGGTCCGTGAGTTCGAGCCCCGCGTCAGGTTCTGGGCTGACAGCTCAGAGCCTGGAGCCTGTTTCCGATTCTGTGTCTCCCTCTCTCTCTGCCCCTCCCCAGTTCATGCTCTGTCTCTCTCTGTCCCAAAAATAAATAAACGTTGAAAAAAAAAAAATTAAAAAAAAAAAAAACTGGTATAGAGGAAGACAGTAGTCCAAGAACATTTTAATGCTAAAGTTCAAAATGTATTAATCCATAAGTAGTCTAAAATTCATACCTTCAGATCCCGGTGAATTATTGGAGTCTTACACTGATGCAATCTTGCAACAGCTTCACAGGTATCACAGAATATCTGTAACACTTCTGCTTCCGTAAAACCTGTCTGCAGCTTCTTATTCATCTGATTCACTACTTGCCCAGCTAACCAAAAAAGTAATTTTGGGAAGACATGTTTTTAGTAAATGAAGACTACCACAAAGAAATTAAGAAATGCCTTTATGGTCTCAAGTAAAGGGGAACTGGCTTTTTCATAATGCTCATGGAAGGATGCTTCCTGTACCATATCATATTGATTCAATAACATACATTTTTCATACTTTACATCTCTGAAATAAAAACATCTTAAGATAGATGATGTTCTGCTAATGCTATTGGCCTTTTTTCAAGATTTTAATTAACATCTATGAAATCAAAGTATGCTTTATAATTGACGGCATCATAGATTTGAAGAAACAGTTATTCAATACTATGCTAGCTATTAGATAAACAATTGTGAGCAAAAATAAAGTTTATATTATCATGGAATTTATCAATTAAAGGCAGAGGTAAACATTAAGCAATTACATAAACACATATAATTATGTACAATAAGGCTAATATGAGAGAAACCTAAATTTAAATTGGCAAAGGAGGATGGGGAGGGGAGGGTGTCAGATGAGGTCTATCTGAGGAAGTGATATTTATGGTGAGACTGTAGCATGATTAGGAACTGACCAGGCAGAGATCTGCGAGAAAAGCACGCTAGCAACAGCAAGCAGTACGTCCAAAGGCCTCCATTTTGGAAAAGAGCTTAATAATTTTGATTAACTTAAAGCCAATGTAGGTATGTATGGTCCAAAAATCAGAGAAAAGGTAAAGTGATATGAGACTGACATATGACAGACAGCCATCAGCCATATTTTAGATTTTATCTTGAGAACCAGGGACTTCCTGATCTTTTTTTTTTTAATGTTTCTTTATCTTGAGAGAGAGTGTGCGCAAACACACGTGAGCAGAGAAAAGGCAGAAAGAGAGGAGGAAAGTGAACCCCAAGCAGGCTCCATGCTGTCAGTGCAAAGCCTGATGCAGGTTCGATCTCACATTAAGACCTGAGCAGAAATCAAGAGTTGGACACTTAATCAACTGAGCCACCCAGGTGCCCACTCCAGATCTAACTTTTAAAAGGATCTTCTTGACTGGGGGGTAGGGGAAATCACAAGAGTGGAAATGGACAGATGGGTTAAGAGGCTAATGCTCTAATTCAGGTAAAAGGCAACAGGCAGAATAACTTACTAAAATCAAACAGTCATACCAATGAGCCCTGAGAGGATGATTATATATTGCATATACCACAATAATGGATAGTCTAGTGACAATTCTAAATTATTAAGAAAAAGTTGACCACCATTGAAGGACACAAGAAACACAAATAATTAGGGGCACCTGCGTGGCTCAGTCAGTTAGGTGTTCAACTTCAGCTCATGATCTCACGGTTCATGAGTTTAAGCCCCGCGTCAGGCTCTGTGCTGACAGCACAGTCTGGAGCCTGCTTCACATTCTGTGTCTCCTCTCTCTCTTCCCTCCCCTGTTTGTGCGCCCTCTCTTTCTCTCTCTCTTTCAAAAGTAAATAAATAAACATTAAAAAAATTTTTTTAAAGAAAAGTAATTCAGAAAGCATTGTAATGAAAATTAAGTTTGGGAATTTAAAAAGGCAAACTTATGTTAACTTGAAACCTTCCTTTAACAAGGTTGGACAAATGAATGTTTGCTACTTTGTAATCTGCAAGAAGGTGTATATACACCTGTTCATTTAATACTACTCTCTAAACAGCATTCTCATGTATTTCCTATAATAGCAGAAAACTTTAAAGCAGAAAAAATACCAAATTTTATCTATCAATCCCCAATTTCAGAACACTAAAGTATATTTGATTGTAATTTGTTCAGGACACCTCAAGATACCTGACCAGGCAGGAATTTCCCCCATCCTCTTGTGTGTTAGACACTGAACTTGTTTTAAACAAAAATTAAACAGGATAAAAAGTGTTTTATTGATGCTCATTCACATTCTTGAAATATGTCACAGCTAAAGATATCATAATCTTAAACTCATTCTACGTCTTCCTAACTTGTAATGTTGTAATGAGTAGAAAAAAATTTGAACAAATGTTAATCTCCTTTCTCGCATTCAGAGATCTTGAATCACGAAACGCAAGTCCCCAGAAAAACCTAAGAGCTGTAACTGAGCTGCATTTCAAATGTAGAAATAAGTAAAATTTCATTATTCAAAATCAAAGTCTTCTGAAGATTAAAGTAAAGGTTATTCTAATGAAAAACAAACAAACAAACAAATCAGGGGCACCTGGGTGGCTCAGTCGGTTAAGCTCAGATCATGACCTCGCGGTTCGTGAGTTCGGGCCCAGCATCAGGCTCAGTGCTGACAGCTCAGAGCCTGGCGCCTGCTTTGGATTCTGTCTCCTTAGCTTGCTGCCCCTCTCTCCCTCCCTCTTTCTCTCTCTATTTCTCAAAAATAAATAAAAAATAAAACATTAAAAAAATTTTTTGAAAAACGAAAAAAAAATCAGATTCAGAAGTCAAACGATGTATACTGAAAATCTTTTCAAACAGGATGCATATAACTCTCAAATCTTTCCATATTTTTCAAACAGTATCATTTCCTAAACAAAAGCTTTTACACTCTGACCAATTTCACCATTAAAATGGAAAATTCAACATTTTTCCAACCACTTAGTCATCCAACAACCTTCTGTAAAGTGCAATCTTACATTCCACTTTAATTTTTACATGACTTGGGTTTTTTTAATAAGGTAATTAAATTTTATCTGTAGTAGATTGCACCACTGGCCCCAAATCTTCAACCCTCACTTTATCCCGGCCCTTTGCCATGTAACTGCACTTCCTCCCAATAAATGGAGCAGAGAGAATACCTTGCTCTTTGATGTGGGCTCAGCCATATGACTGACTTTGGCTGAAAGAATAACGCAGAAGTGGCAGTGTGCCAATCCCAAGCCTAAGCCTTAAGAGACCTCACATCTTCCACTTGCCCTCTTGTATTTCTATTATCTCTATGAGAAAAACATCCCCCAAATAAGCTTCTAGTGCCAGGGAAAAGGATGAGAAACCTGAAACAGAGCCACTCCAACTAATCCCAGCAAACCCACTGGCATGTGAACAAGCCCAACTAAAACGAACAGTGTCATTCCACCAAGCTCAGTCTACAACAAGTGACCCACTGATACACAAGCATTAATAAATGACTGTTGTTTTATGCTGTTGAGTTTGGGGATGTTTTGTTATAAAGCAAAAGCTAACAGGTATGTTATCCGTGGGAATTTCTATAAAACACCTCCAAAACAAAAAGCTCCTTTCATTAAATAATGGAAATATATTCAAAAGACCAACTCTGATTTCTGGACGTCTGGTACCTAAAGCCTGTAATTAATCTCTCTTTAACTTATACACAAGAATATTAACAAATTTAGCAGTGTCAAATCATGAACCCACAAAAATCTAACATTTCACAAAAGATGGCTGTAACAAATTGATACCTCTAACCGTGATGGTGCATATCGGCTATACAATGCATTCCTCTACTTCCTACACAGTTTCATCCCTTACAAAATCAAAACCAATGTACCTGATTTTTATTCATAACACTGACTGCCTTACAAAAGTACCTTCATTCTTAAACAATTTTATGTAATACAATCAGCTTTTATAGAAGTAAGGGGAAAGGAATTACTCTCCCATTCTCTACTCTGCAACTCACTCTTCCCCCATGAAAAGAAAAAGAATTTATCTAACTGATTCATGTGAGAAAAAGGAATTGAGTATGCCCTATTCAAATCCTCTGGATTCCTTCTCTGGGATATAAAGCCCACTCAGAGGGTACATTCTCATCTATAGTGCATGCAGTACGTTTAGCTGGTAAAACATTTGAAGGAAACTTCTAACATAAAAAAGGTGTAATAACAAGAGAAAAATTCAGGAAAACAAAAACACAAAGAACAGAAGAAAACTCTTTTTTAAAAACTGTAATTAAGGGGCGCTTGGGTGGCGCAGTCGGTTAAGCGTCCGACTTCAGCCAGGTCACGATCTCGCGGTCCATGAGTTCGAGCCCCGCGTCAGGCTCTGGGCTGATGGCTCAGAGACTGGAGCCTGTTTCCGATTCTGTGTCTCCCTCTCTCTCTGCCCCTCCCCCGTTCATGCTCTGTCTCTCTCTGTCTCAAAAATAAATAAACGTTGAAAAAAAAATTAAAAAAAAAAAACTGTAATTAATAACTGCAGACAACAAATGACTTGCATCTAAAACAAGAGCAAAGTGCATTTTAACAAAGAACAGCATTGAGAGAATAAGAGTTCTTGGAAATTAAAAATAAATAGCAGAAATACAAAATTCTATAGAGGAGCTAAAAGATACATTTAAGGAACTCCCAACACAATTAGAATTTTTAAAAAGAGAAGACAAAGAGAGGAACAGAGAAAATGAAAGAGAAAAAAACTGAGTCCCAGCAATAAAGATAGCAAAACTGACCCATAACCAAGGCAGATATACCTAAGATTTTAGAATGCTAGAGCTAAAGCAAAGATTCTAAGTGTCCACGGGAAAAAAAAGAGGTCACGTTAAAAAAAGTGAAGAATCATAATGCATGAGATTTCTCAATAGTAACAACTAGGAGAAAAATGAGATAATGCCTTCAAAATTCTTAGCCCAAAATTATTTCTCAATAGTAATAACTAGGTGAAAAATGGGGATAATGCCTTCAAAATTCTAGCCCAAAATTATTTCTAACCTACAACACTTTAGCCAGCCAAATGAATAATCAAATATGGATGCAGAATAAAAATAACTCTATACAAGGTTTCAAACATGCTTCTTTCCATAATCCATTATCAGAAAGCTACTGAAAAAATGTACTCTATTCAAAGGAGGTAGGTAAAAACAAGGGAGGAAGTATGAGTAGTAGAGAGTCTAAGATAGGAAGAAGGCATAGGGAGTTCCTAGAAGCACAACTAAATGCTATTCAAAATTAAGCAGAACTGAAGTCTCCCCAAAGGATATTTCTATGGAAGAACAAATAAAACTGACACAAATATGTAAATGTTGAAGTATACTACATAAAGATTTGCATTTCTATTGAGGAATGTTGGGCTAAACTACTAACATATATGAAGGAAAATAGGCAATTATCAATGGGTATATTAGCTCCTGGAAAAAAATTTTAAATACAAAAACAAAAATGTTAATTACAGGCTATCACATATCACAGTTAAACAGCAAGCAAAATAATTTAAATACTGATTATTAATTTAATCTAAAAATTAAATATTAAAATTAAAAAGTTAAAAAAAAACTCTGACAGTTAAATCCTCATCTTTTCTTGGAGATATTATCTAAAACATAAAATTAGGGTGCCTGGATGACTCAGTCAGTTAAGCGTCAGACTCTTGATCTCGGCTCAGGGCATGATCTCACAGTTTGTGGGTTCGAGCCCCATGTCAGGCTCTGTGCTGGCAGTGCAGAGCCTGCTTGGGATTCTCTTGCTCTCCTCTCTCTCTTTGCCTCCCCCACTTGTGCTCTCTCTCAAAATAAATAAACTTAAAAAACAATAATAAAAAGCAAAACATAAAACCAGAAAGAGCACTACCAAACTTTTATTCAAGAGCCTCCTCATACCCAGAATCACATACTTCTCCTGATTTTCTAAGTTCCCCCTCTCTCATACTGTAAGGATCTCATTAAAACTACACACTTTCCTCTATATAATGACGTGTAGAAATATGGAAGTGAATATGAGAAATATCTCAAGCATTTTTAAAGTGAATGCCTCTGAGGAGAGTAATGGGGCAGGAGGATACTGATTTAGCCACAGCTTAACAAAACCATTTGACTTTTTAAAACATATACGTGTACTACTTTGATAAAAATAAAAATTTCATGTGAATCAGCTTGCTGATTCAAACCAAATAAAAAAAAATTTTTAAGTTTGTAAAAAAGCAAAAAAGAATGCCTTCTTCAAAACATACCTCAGGTCATACCTCTACTTTAAAATAAAATTTGTCCCCTAAAAATTGAAGTTCATTGGGTTCTCCTTTTAAAATGTCTTCTGGATGACTATCAATTAAACTCATCCAGGGTTATGATTATGCTAGATTCAATTATGTTTAAAAAATTAGCAAAGCGCTATCTTTACAAATAACCAACAGCTACTCTATCCAGCCAAGATTTAGTACCACAAATGCTAGATAGAATTCAGGAAAGTGGAGTAAAGAACATCAACATCTTCTCCTTAAAGAGATCACAATGTTTTACAGTATGAGATATATACAAGAGAAAACAATCAGGAAAACATCTAATTTTTTATAATATATATGGAAATAATTTCTAAATATATCATAATAGATATTATAATTCTGATTCACTTCATTTTCCCCTGTCCTTCCCTCCTTACAAGACTAGAATAAATGAAACTATATTTTCTCCAACATTACCATCAGCCTACTCCTCCAACATTCAGGAAATGACAAGTGTTCATAATATCATAATTAAAAATCATAACTGTCTTAAGAGAATCTAAATGTAAGCCAAGGCTCCCTAGAACCCAAATCAGATACAGTCTGATTTAAAAAATTTTTTAAGAAGTTTGCAGAAAATGGATTAATTTCAAATTAATTTCAAATCTTCTGATATTTATAAAAGAACCCAAAAAGACGATATAACTTTATAAATATTACAGATCAAAATGCATCTAAATTTATTACATTTGATATACTGAAAGTTAATATGGAGTGCTGGAAAAAAATCTTGTAACACTAATATTGACACATTATGCTTTTCTTAGTTGGACTATAAAAGTATAGGGAGCATGATATGTAACTGCTCTTCACTCATTCAGATTTCTTGGTTTAAACACAACAGCATTTTTCCAATCGTCATTTACATGCTCACATCATCAGTACAGCAATGACGACTAGATTTTAAATATTTCTTTTTTTTTTTTTTAATGTTTATTTATTTTTGAGAGAGAGAGACAGAATGCAAGAGGGTTAGGGGCAGAGAGAGAGGGAGACACAGAATCCGAAGCAGGCTCCACCCTCTGAGCTGTCAGCACAGAGCCCGACGCGGGGCTCGAACTCATCAGCTGTGAGATCATGACCTGAGCTGAAGTCGGACACTCAACCGAGCCACCCAGGCACCCCGATTTTAAATATTTCTTAACAGCATTCCTTAAGTAGATAATTAAAGCTGAGATTACAATAAGTGTCTAGAATCAGGTGACAACTGCCCTGGGAGAAACCAAGACACCTAGTAAACCATTTTAAGGGTAACTTTTTTTTCAGTATAAAACAAATGCAGAAAAATACTTACCCCGGCAATATTCCATTAAGATAAGCACTTCCCATACATTATCACTAATTGAGTTAACAGCACAATCCAAGTAACTCACAATATTTTTGTGACCAGACAGCTCCTTCTGTGTAAAAAAAAAAAAAAAAAGAAAAAGAAAAAGAAAAATTAAAAAAACATACATTGTAAAGCTCTATTACCAATGATTTGAAGTCTAAATTAATATATTTGAAGAATTTCACAAAAGTGAATTAAGCATACGTATAGAATCTGACACAATTCAAAAAGGTTTCAGTAGTTCCAATGAAAAGTTTACTTAATGGGCGCCTGGGTGGCTCAGTTGGTTAAGTGTCCAACTTCGCCTCAGGTCATGATCTATTGAGTTGGAGCCCCACGTCAGGCTTTGTGCTGACAACTCAGAGCCTGAAGCCTGCTCGTTTCCCTCTCTCTCTCTGCCCCTCCCCCGCTCAGGCTCTGTTTCTCTTTCTCTTTCTCAAAAATAAACATTGAAAAAAAATTTTTAAAAAGTTTACTTACATGTGGCTGCCATTTTCTAACAGGCAAATATTCAATGAACACTAATTTTTTTTATGTTTATTTTTTAGAGAGAGAATGAGTGAACAAGGGAGGAGCAGAGACAGAGGGAGACAGAATCTGAAGGGGGCTCTGTGCTAACAGCAGAGAGCCCAATGCAGGATTCAAACTCACAAACCAGGAGATCATGACCTGAGCTGAAGTCAGATGCTTAACCACTGAGCCACGCAGGTGCCCCTTTGAACACTAATTTTTAAATTCAATCAGGAAAAAAGAGATGGTTCACTCAAAACCAAAAGTCTCCAAAATAAGTGTGCAAGATAGTCCTTTGGGACTCAAGAATAAAATATCAGAACTTTTACTTATATTTATTTTTATCCAAAAAATTGTTTAAATTGAAGCTCTAATATTTATGAACTTACAATTACACTCTCATTTGTTTGTTTTGCCTACAAAATACTGTGTACCCAGCTAAGTGGACCTATGAATGTATATACTTTTAAACTAAATAACATACAAAATGAACAACTGGCTAAAAAATTTTCTATTAAGTAACCACAGGTTAAAGATAATACTAAGGGCGCCTGGGTGGCTCAGTTGGTTAAGCGTCCGACTTCGGCTCAGGTCATGATCTCGCGGTCTGTGAGTTCGAGCCCCGCATCGGGCTCTGTGCTGACAGCTCAGAGCCTGGAGCTTGTTTCAGATTCTGTGTCTCCCTCTCTCTCTGACCCTCCCCTGTTCATGCTCTGTCTCTCTCTGTCTCAAAAATAAGTAAACATTTAAAAAAAATTTTTTACAAAGATAATACTAATAATACAAGACAATAAGAAAAAAATGGCAAATCTGACATTTTTGTTCATAGTACAAGATAATCATCAGCATATAATGAGGTTAAAAATAATAATCTATTTAGGTCTGTCTGGAAATTAAAAAACAATTATCAACAATACTTTTTAAAATAAATTTACATCCGGAGCAGCGCCTGGGTGGCTTAGTTGGTTGAGTGTCCGACTTTGGCTTAGGTCATGATCTCTCACGGTTGCTGGGTTCCTGGGGTTGAGCCCTGTGTCGGGCTCTGTACTGATAGCTCAGAGTCTGGAGTGTGCTTTGGATTCTGTCTGACCTCTCTCTCTGTTCCTCCCCCATTCTCACTGTCTCAAAAATAAATGAACATTAAAAAAAAATAAATTCACATCCACTATCAATAATAAACCTGGTTTTAACTGAGATATTATTTATATGAGATATTACCTAACAGTAGCTGAACATGTAATTCATAAATACATAAATATAATGGGAGATGGGTTATCAAAAAAAGTTGGATGACCACTGCTCTAATGAGCTAATCTCCCTAAATTCTCTTGTTCAAAAGCACAGAATTTGAGTGCTGCTGCTACTGATGATGACCAAATTTTACATCTCTGAAAATTACAGAAATTCTATTGAAAGCAAGAATTATGGCGCAATGGCACCGTATCTAGACACAAGTTAGAAAACTTAGACTAAGAACCCCTACTATCTTGAGGTAAATCTCTTCACCCTTTTGACTAATAGCCTTTTTAAAAAGTTTTTAAAGAACAAATCTCAAAGCATAATCAAGTCTAATCTAACCAAGGAATAGGGACAATAAAAGAATCAGGTAAGTCATGTTATATAAATGTGCCTATCTTTGAATAAAAGGGATCAAAATATGTGTATTGATAAAGATGTTGATACAAAATGGGAAATCTCTCTCTTAGCAATTGGATAAGTAGGAATGATATTAAGAACTGTTTATAAGGATGTGGAAAAACTGGAATTCTCATACATTGCTGGTGTGACCATAAAATAGTTCAGCTGCTATGGAAAAAAATTTAGTGATCCCTAAAAAAGTTAAACACAGAATTACCATAACCCAACAATTCCACTCCTAGATATAAACCCCAAAAAACTAAAAACAGATACTCAAATAAATACATATACAAACACATTCATAGCAGCACTATTCACAACAGACTAAAGGTAGAAATGGCTTAAATGCCTATCAATGGTTTTAAAAAAGTCCATCAACAGGTGAAGAGAGAGAGAGAGAGAGAGAGAGAGAGAGAGAGGCAGACAAACACATACAATGGAATATTATTCAGCCATAAAAAGGAATGAAGTACTGATACACTCTACAATGTGAATGAACCTCAAAAACATGCTAAGTGAAAAAACCATACAGAAAAGGTCACATACACAAAAATTTTATATATATGTATATATACAGCACTTGATAAACAGTGGATGAGGAAGAAGAAGAGAACAGAAGAAAAGGAGAGAAGAAAAGGAGGAGGAGGAAGAGAAAGAAGAGGTGAAGGAAGAAGAGGTGGAAAGAGAGAAGAAGTAGAGGGAGTGCGGAGGAAGATGGGGAGGAAGGGGAGGAAGAAGAGAAGAAAGAAGAGGAAGGAGAGGTGGAAGAGGGGGAGGAAAGGGAACAGGAAGACAAGGGAAAAGAAGAGGTGGAGGAAAAGGGGGGAAGAAGAGGAAGAAAAGAAGAGGAGGACTAGGGGGAGAAGGAAGAAGAGGAAAACAACAACAAGCCATCAGAGCACTGAGAATAAGACACCCTAGAAAAAAAGAAACTTTCATTTTGTAGTTTTTTAACCGTTTAACCAAATTACTGAAATTCTGTCAATAACCTATTAAAATATTTTTTACTTCTCAATATTTAAAAAAAAAATTCCCTTACTCATAAGGGAAGATATGGATATTTTACCATATATTGCAGAGTACATCAAAAAAAAAAAATAGTAACAACAATAAACTTTACTGCATGAATTTGAAAATGAAAAGCAGGAGCACCTGGGTGAGCATCCAACTCTTGATTTCAGCTCAGGTCACAATCTTACGGTCTTGAGATGGAGCTCATGTTCATGTGAAGCCTGCTTAAGATTCTCTCTCTCCCTCTCTCTCTGCCCCTCCCTTGCTCATGCTCACGCATGCATGCCCCCATTCTCTCTCACAAAAATAATAAAAAATAAAAACAAAAAGCAAAACTAATTGTTGTTGGTGAATATAAACATAAACAGTGAATGCATTAAACACCCATGGGAATAGTAAACACCAAATTCAGGACAGTGGCTTCTTTTTGGATGAGAATGTATATACTTTTAAACTAAATAACATACAAAATGAACAACTGGCTATATAGTGATATAGCTAGGAAGGAATCCACTGAAGGCTTCAACTGTACCTGTACGATTTTAATTCTTAAGCTGGATAGTGCATAAACTGATATTCATCACATAATTCTCTAAATTTTTCTATTCTCACAACATTCCATAACTAAAATATATTTTAAAAGACAGCGGGGGAGAAAAAGTAGAGTAGTTTGCCCATCAAACTACAATAAGGAAGCAAGGAAAAAGGAGAGGAAGGGACTGGCTATATTTAGCCTTAAGTGTGTCTATAAAGAATGCATTTCAAAGGTTTTCTAGATGCACATAAACCAATAAACAGCTTGCCAAAAAAGCTAGTTAATGTTTTAGTGCAAAACCAAAAGAAAATACACCAAATTCTTACAATGGAATTACTCTTTCACTTACCATAATTGTAATTTCCCTTTTACAAATGTTGAGGTCTGGCATGTTATTGACATACATTCTCTTCAATGCATGGCGGATTCCACCATGTGTCCGCACCAGAAAAACCGTGGAGAATCCACCTAGAAGAACAAATAACGATTAATTAAAAAGACTCAGAAACTGCTATCAAATCATGGAATATCACTGGGGAGCTTAATCTCAGTGGGAAATAAATTGTACACAAGACAAAAATAACAGTAAGCAATCATTTTATTAGATTAAAAACAAAACACTGGCTTCTTATGCTAATCACAAAGGAATACATAGAGAATAACATTCATCTCAAATGAATATGCTTCTCTAAGGGTGCCTGCATGGCTCAGTCAGTTAAGAATCCGACTTCAACTCAGGCCATGATCTTGCAGTTCATAAGTTCTGCCCCTCCCCCACTCGTTCTCTGTCTTTCTCTCTCCCAAAAATGAATAAACTTCAAAAAAAAAAAAAAAACAAACAGAATATGCTTCCCTTTTAAAAGTTAAAATACTAAAATTCCATTTTGCCTGGGAATAGCTCTTACATAATATGTGGAAAATGTCACAACATAACTGTATTACTATATACTTTGGCACATACTAGGACTGCCTACCCACTAGCCTCCCCCTCTCTGTGATAACAAAACACTGATGTTATTTGAAACATCAACAGGATCAGATGGGTGGCTCCCTCTCCAGTTCCAAGGGATGAACCAACATTGTTGTAAGGCGATAATGGGAATCTCATTTCCTGTTGTCAGTAACTGATTTAGGATAGGACATGTAACAAATTTTGCCATAGGACATAGGGAAAATTTGCTGGGGATTTTAGGGAAAGACTGTCCACCCAGAAAAAAAAAAGAGAGAGAGACTTGTGAAGAAGCCCATGATCTTCCTTTGGCTTTTGGATTTTGTGGTATATGAATATGATTGTTTAGACCTACTGCAGCTATCTGTGGCAATGGCAGAAAAAAGGATCAGAGAAAAAATGACCCAGAACACTGACACAGTTAGGCTACTGAGTTAGACAACTCTAGAACTACCTCCTTCCAGAACTCTTACAATATATAAATGTCCTCATTATCTATGTCACAATTATATGGACAGTCTGTTAACTGAACTTGAGACAAGCAAATCTGAAACACATTGCTAGGTATTCTAAAGAACAATTACTTCCATCACATCTAAGCAAATTCTACCTGACGTTTTTAAAACCCATCTTGGTATAAAGATTACTGTGTTGTTTAATGCAGTTTAAAACAAAAACTGGTGCATCACTTTTATCAATTTGATAGGCCTTATAAAGCACATCCTGAGCAATGATACAGCACCTGCACTCTGATTCAATGCAAATCAGTGAAAGGAAAAGCAAACTTTTGGGGATAAAATGGTAGGGGGAAAAGAGCTCCTAAGACACTCCAGAATCAGTATGAATTCAATCCAGGGTCTCCATATCCCCATCTGTAGTTACAGGAAACTGTAAGTCTCCCACCTTCTAGATTTGGGTTTCTACATATATATACAATGTAGGAGAAATAAAATCAACCAACCCACAAGGCAGTTATCAGGAGAGAAAAAGGCGGTATTTGGGAAAGATATTTCAGGTAAAAGCTCTAACAGTGCAAGGTGTTTTTTTTTTTTTAAGTTCACTTAGCATTGATTTCAGATGCAAACATTAACAAATTAATAGCACTAATAATGTGCTAAACTACTCAAATTTTATGAAAAAATTAAAGAAAATGCTAAAAGTTAGATCTAGACACGGAAGTAGTATGAGTATAGATCAAGATAAATCATTTAAACAGCATTTGATTTTAGATATTTATCTAGAGATTACCCTAGAACAATGCTTCCCAAACATAGCTATACATAAGAATTGCCTGGTGAGCTGGTAAGACAGAGAGAAAGAGAGAGAATGAATTTATCTTTAATAGTTTTCCAAGTTCTGACCACAAGTCTGAATCAGAAAGCCTCAGTCAGGCCTAGTAAATATACTGCTAAAAATCCCCCAGCTCATTTTATTCTTCTACCTCTGTTTATGTTCTTATGAATATATAATAATATAAAATATAAAAATATAAAATATAAATATATAAAATAATATAAAAATATAAAATAATATAAAATAATTATATAAATAATATAAATAAAGTATATAATAATATAAATAAGTTATTAACCAGGGGGTGGAGAGTAGTCTCCCAGCTGTTTCTGATATACAACCTTGTTAAGTATCCACTGAACCAGAGAAAAAGTTCCTAGACAAATCATGGATCTTATATATCCATTCTCAACCACCCACAAAACAAAGTAAATTTATGCCAATGAATTAGCAAAATTAGGGAAAAACACATTAAGTTTTCTTCATAAAACCCTTGTTCTTAAAAGCTAGTTTGTTAATTTTATTCCAAATTAGACATAGATCTGAGCAAATGTTTTCTAACTTTCTAACATCAACTGTGGATTTATACCTAAACAAGGTAAATAATGGTCATGAATAGTGCCTGCTTTGAGAAAAGGAATAATGTATTTGCATTTCTCCAAATACTGTATTTTCCAGCATTTTCTGATTATTTATAAGCTAATATTATTTCTGTTGGAATAATGCATGTACTAGGAAGTAACTAACTAGTTAAAACATTATAGTAACTCAAGAGAGGAGTATCATCTGCTTGCCACCAACCCGTATCTACCAAATGCTTCAACACATTTTTCCTCCAAGAAGTCTTTCATGACCAATCCAATTCATGCTCATCACTTCCTCAGAATTCTTATCTAGCGTTCTGACTATATTATCAAGTACTTCAATTCTCAACTCACTGGATACATATATCACAAGATTACTGGCAGTTACCACAAATTCCACTTACTATATATTTCTATGTCCAATTCAAAATACAGTTCAAGTCCAAGTCAAGGCACAGTTATTAAATTAATTCTATATTTTCAATTCCAAATATGGGACTAGGAGGGTACTATTAACCATTCCATATATTCTCAAAATCCCAAGAAAATAAAAGAACTAATCACAGATACTGGTCTGGCAGAGTAAAGTAGGAAATAAATGTGTATTTATGAAAGCTAAAATTACTACTATCTTTTGTAATCTACAAATCATATAATATAGGCATTCCTTCCAATTTGTGGGTATACATTCTGAAAAGCAATGATTATTAGCCTCCCCATTTTTTTCCAGGGTAGGACACGGGGTTCACATGCTAAAACAATTCCACGAGCTTCCTAACTTATTAAATATCACCTATTTTGTCCCCAACCCAACACAAAAAATAATCATATTTAAATGAAGGAGTGGCTTTAAGCCAATCTAAATTTGTTTCAATTAGCAGTATTAAAATAATGACAATGTAGCTTGCACTTGACTGAATACCACCTTGGAAAGCACTGCTCTAGAGACGCCAGGTGCCCTGGGTTAACTGTTTATGAATGCAGGCATATGTTTCTACAGACGAACTTTTCCTCCTGATAAACCAGTAGTTATTCCTCCTATTAAGCCATTATTTTTCCATGTTTTCATTTATCTTACTTTTAATTTGCTGATGGTGTATATATGTATTCAGAAATGTATTCAAAAAGATAACATGGAAGAATGAAAACATGAATGATAGGACCAGTTTATTTCTTTATCTTCCCTGCACTTCCTCCGGTACAGATGTCAATTTACCAACTACAAGTACCCAAAGGAGTAGGAATTCATCAGTAACAAAATAATCCTGAGAACAGGGCTAAGAAGTCCACTGGGTTACGCAAACAAGAAAGCAGCAAGACCTAGATATTAGATATTAGTTTTATATCGTAGTCAGCCTGAGATAAATCATAATGAACAAGCCTCCATTTGATTTCAAGTGCCAGCCACCTAGGAAATCCTCCAATTACCTTATACTCGTATTAAGTTTGTTTTTAAGGTAACTTTAATGTAGGTTTTATCCAATAAAGTTTATACAAATGTCTGGTTTCAAAACATATATATCCCTATATAAATAAAGTGCAGCGTCTCCTCCCCCCCCCACTGGTTTTTGGACAAAAACAGAATCCTCAGGGCACCTAGGTGGCTCAGTCAGTTAAGTGTCTGACTTCAGCCCAGGTCATGATCTCACGGTTTGTGGGTTTGAGCCCTGCATCGGGCTCTGTGCTGACAGCTTAGAGCCTAGAACCTGCTTCAGACTCTGTGTCTCCCTCTCTCTCGCCCCTCCCCACCTCATGTTTTGCCTCTGTCTCTAAAAATAAATAAACGTTGAAAAAAAAAATAGAATCCTCTACATGGACTACAGTAACACATGGCTTGACTCATTCTTTTTTTAAAAAAGCTGTATAGTATGCTATACCACATAAGTATTACAAATTGATCATCTCCAAACTGTTGGTCATTCAGCTTAGTCTGGCATTCTATTTATCTTTTGCCATTATTGACAATGATGCTGCATTAAACACCATTGTACAATCATTTTTAAGGACTGGTGTTTTGTTCCTGTAGCACAGATTTCCAAGGAGAGTCTAGCAAAGGAAAAACACATTTCAAATTTGATACTGCCAGATGAAACCCTGAAAGGTTATGGCAACTTCCAGTAGCAACATTAAGAGACAGTTTTCTCACATGCTCACTAGAAGTTACTAAGACATTTAAAAGTTTGCCAACTTGAGAGAAAAAGACTCAGGGCATTGTTATTTCTATCTTGTTTTCCTCTCATTATCAAGGAAACTGAGCATCTTTACTTCTTTTTTGTTGGCCACTTACATTCCCTCTTCTGTGACTTGCCTTCCTATCATTGGTTCCTTTTTCGAAAGGGTTACCTTTTTCTTTCAATTGTAGGAAAGCATTATAAAACTCTCTTAACATACGAGAAGTACAAATATTTTCTCCTGGTCTATCATTTGTTCCATTAGGTATGTGGATGGTGTTTTTCAAATTTAAAAACACATGTTAAATGTTTTTATGAACAGAAAAAAACAGTATGCAGGGACAGACACCAAGCTTGGCGCAGAATCCTACAATTAAGGGAAGAAGAACAATTTTTCCTTCATTTGCCATTGTAGTGTTGGATGTTGTAAGGGGTGTATGTTTTACTGGTAATTGTTAAATAATGTAGAAA